GAGCTGGTCTGTTTGGCAAAAATCCCTTACACGGGAGGTCTGTTAGGCGGGGGCCACTGTACTGTACAAGCATGCTGTTGTTGTTGTTGTTGTTGGAATACATATAATGCTGGTATTCATCATCAGCAGGTATATTTTAATATTGATTTGTTGTTGTTGTTTTTGTGGAAGTAATCAATATGGTGCTATGGTGGTGGTATTTCAGTGCCAGAATGCAGACTGCTTCCAGCACCGCCTCACCTGAATGTCAACTGCACAGACCGTCTGTACTGGGGGTCGGTGTGCGAATTCGCGTGCGACAGGGGCTGGAAAATAGTTGGCCCCAAGAGAACCACGTGCGAGGCCATGGCCAGCAGCAGAACCCCGCCTCACACCAGCGACACATTATTATTGCACAAAAGACCCGTTTTACGCCCCAGGCACCAAGACCGCGTCTTGTGGAGTTACCCCATTCCGGATTGCATTCGTGAGTCATCATACTCCAGAGTTTATATAGTATACCATCTCAACATGCAGCTGCCATTTATTATTGCTACATTTAGACATTCAGAAGGACTTGATTATTATTTATATATAATTTGTTAAGTATTATAGTATAGGATGATATACATAATGCCAAATTGGCTTTGATTTATGATTTAAACTTATTACTGTACTACAGTATATATTTATATGCATCATCCAGTTGCATTTTATTGTACAGGAATGATTATATCAAATTGCTGGCAATATGAAGAGATTCCCACCATCAGCACCAGCAAATGATGATGAGAAGTTTGAAGACATCAAATAATGGGCTGCTTTCATTTCAAATACTGTATAGTTGAATGATTCTTTTGTTTATACAGTAAGTGGACAGATTCATTTTTTTTTCAAGATAACTTCCATACAAAAATATGTTGCATAAGAGCACCTGATCTTTTATTTTGAGAATGTGTTACCACTCAGGAGTTCTGATGATTTACTTATAGGACCCTATTTCACTTCATGGGCAAGATCTAATATGAATGTATACTGCATTTACAGCCCTTTCTATTATTGATCCCCATGCACATACTGAAATATTACAGCCATCAATGGATGCCTGAAGCCTGACCTGCCTCAGGCAATGTCACTCAATTGCTCCACCACCACCTCAGCAGCACCCATCAATAGCAAAAGCAGCATCATCACTGATGCTGAAGAAACAATTGATGGACAGCAAGTGTTCATGGAAGGGACCATTTGCAACATGACCTGCCAAGAAGGACACAAACTTGTTCCTGCTCTCATCACTCGCACTTCTTGCGCCAGAGGGCGCTGGACAAACCTTGATGTTGCCACTTGCAAACCTCTGTTTGATCCCAATAATAATAATAACAATAAGGACAATGTGGACACCATCAACAAAGGTTCATGCATTTGTGAAAACCAAAATCCAGGTAAAACTTGATCATTGCTGCTTCCCATTTTTATTTTTTTTTAAACATGATGGTTATACAATAACTATAGGTTCAAGAATTTTGCACTTTTATGCCCCTTGATTATTAACAAATCACTACATTATTGGATACGCAGTTGATGCTACTTTTATGAATATTATAAATATATATTCCATTCAAGGGGAATTTGAGTATTTTTGTACAGGTACTATAAATATATACACTCACTCAAAATTGAACAATTCTTCTCTTTGTATGCTGCAAATATTCTGCTTAAAATCTGAAAATGCTTTATATGAATGAATGAACAGAAAAATTTATTTGCCGCTTTTCAGCATTCACAAGGCATAACCAGAACTCCTGCATCCAAACCCGCTCCCCACACAACCCAACTCCCCCAAATACATTCAATCATTTCAAAGCATGAAACAAAGCACAAACCAATGACAAAAATAAAAGAGAACACACTCCACAAAATAAAACTGAACATCCTACACGTATGTTGCATACACCCACCTTTATATACCAGATCTTAAATTTAATGAAATCAATATGGAGGATATCACATCAATGTGTGTATACCTCTGAGCAATTGAGAAGTTGTCCATTCAGTCAATAGGACAACTTCAAAATTACTATCCAAAAAAGGCATCAAACATAAATTCACATGTTTGCACTATACTTATTTTATTGATGGGTAATAGCTATAATGAAACAGCTTCTTATCTATATTGTAAATATATCCTGAATGCATCTGTGAAAGAATTGTCATATGCAGTCAATATTTGTCAGATTTATTGTGGAATGGAAAATTGCAATATTGTGGAAGGGAAAGTCATAGCTGCTGAGATAAGCTTGTGTCAAATTAATTAGGTAAAAGTTGTAACTGACGTTTCATTAAAAATGAATGCATTTAAATTATTCAAGGTGTGGAAATACTTGTTGAATAATAAGTACTGTACTTTATTAATATGTGTTGGGGAATGCTTTGCAACATTATTCAGCTAATGCAGCTGTACATGTTAATATAATAATATTGCACTCCAAAAAACAGTTGATGAACTTCCGGATGAAAAAGGTGAAAAAATCCTCGACTTGATCATTGAGAGTGAGAATAACTCGGATGAAGACATGCTGAGAACAGCCACCATTTTGCGCGCCGAAATGAACTTCACTGTTGAAGTCACGGACAGCCATCTTGCAAAGCTCTGCAAGTCCAATCAGAAGCATGCTGGGAACAAAGAGCTGCTGATTACTGATGACCAAAGCGACACGTTGAAAGGGATTCGGGATGAGCTGATTGCTAGGAATGCTGGCAATTGTGCCAAAATCAATTGCAAACTCTGGCATTTCAAGTGCCATCACTGCGACAATAATAATGCTGCTGCTGCTGCTGCTGATGGCAAGTCCAAGAGCTCATCTCCTGCTGGGTCAAAGTCAAAGTTTGTGTTTGAATATTATCCATTTGCTGTAATTTTGAGACTATAGGTACATCAACAAACTATTTATCTCACTTTTATGTATATTTAATCATGTGTAGAATAAGGTGCACAAACATGAAGGCAGTAGTTCAGGCTACTTGGACTTTGAAGGCTGATTTTGCACATCAGGTGGGTGATGACAGTTCTGACAAATCTACTGATGATGATGATGATTTGGATGATGAGCAAGATGTCATGGAATTTGAGGCAGAAATGATGCTTCAACAAGTCCAGGTGAGATAGTGATAAGAGTAAAATGCTTAATTACCTGATACAAATACAATTAACTGATACAAAACATTGCAAAATTTTAGTTCAATATCCAGGCCTTTTGATTGCACACATTTTCAAAAGTAATTTCTGCTGCCTGAGATATGATAGCTGACTCAATCTTCCAAATCATTCACAATTTGATTATTTTTTAAATAATCAAGGCTGATGAAGTGGTTGGGTTGGGGAAAACTTCCAACCCCAATATAAGGGCGCCATTTTAGGGTCAGCTTGAACCAGCAGTGTAGTTTCCTCAAAACTAAAAGAGTATAATAATTTAAAAGTAGACAAGTATTTGGGTGATTTGTTAAAATGTTCATGGTGTTCATGTACTTTTTCAATTGATGTCACATAAAATTATTGCTATTCTCTCAGAAAAGACTGACCATCATATACTGATCTGCAGTAGTAATTTACAGTGTAGTTGAGTCATCTCATTGTTGGAAAAAAATTCTGCCACATCTTGTGTTTGTCTCCTCATGATTTTCCCGCCTTTCAATAGTTTCAAATGCACCACAGGTAGACACTGAGAAAATGCTGATGGATGACTCACAAGGATTTCTGAACCATGTTGAATTCCTTGGAGGCAAAATTGTTCCAAATTCACTTGCTTTGGGTCCAGTGCTGTTGGCATGTGCTCTTCCTGGAACCCAATTGGACCCAGTGTCCCATTCTTGCAGTTGAGTCTCTTTTTTTTTTTTAACAAAGAACATAATAAAAAAATATAACAGGGCTTTGATTTGTGCCAAGTGTTTAATGATGTTGAAAAATTCCTCACATACTTTTCGCATCTATTCTCACATTTTATGAGGACTGTAAGAAGAAGAGCAAGAAAAAAATATGAGTTTATCCAGGGATGTTTTCATTGTGTAGAAACTGTAGACAGTACACAGGACAAAGTAAGGCTTCCCAAAATTAATTAGGAAACTATTATTAATAATGCTTCAAAAACAAATCTTTCAGATAGGAATCTTGTCATCCATCCAAAATAGAGTATTATATACAGTATCAAATGCAATAATTCATTCTTAAATGAATGTAGAAATGTCCTCATCCTAAATTATTTAGAAGCCCTTGAACAGATTATATATATATTGTATATGGCCAATCATGCTCATCAGGATTACCAGTAAAAAATATTTCTTCACCCTCTCATTCATGTTGATACATTACCAGTTGCATGCCAAAATGCAGGTACATAAATATTCTATATGCATGATGTTATTATTTAAGATATTTTGAAATCACTGATTAATTTTTTTTTTTTTTTGGTGGCAGGTGCATGCGACCCTGGGTACTTCATTGCTCAGTACTCAGCAGACACTTGTTCCCCGTGTCCAGCAAACACTTACCAGCCCCAGTTTGGTGCAACCACATGCCATGGTTGTCCAGATGGCACCACCAGTCCTGTTGCCTCTGCCAGCATTTCTTCTTGCATTGCGCCAGAGTCATTATGAACTACTGCTCTACTGTACTGCTGTGCGCAATCATGGTTGCTTTTCCTGATTGAAACATGTTTATGCAGCACTCTTTGAATGATTCTCCATACCTTTTGAATAAATATACATTGGCTTTTGATTCATGCTATATACTTGTGAAACCTAGCATATTTTATAGTATACATGTATACTCGCTCTCTCTCTCAACTCTTGTCCATACAACTTTTTTCTCTGTGCAACAAATTTGTTGGTGGTCCCACAGGGTTCTCTGTAGTGTACTGTATACAGTATCCATGTTATATGGCTCTCTATATAGATAACAAAATTCTCTTCTACAACAATTTTTTATGGTCCCATCAATTTTGTTATAGTGAGAGTCCACCTGATGTATAGACAATATTTCATCAATCACTGAATCACGATTATGCTTTGCAATAATAAAAAAAATTGAGAAAGCAACATATATTGTACATATATTGTATATATACTACCTTTGAGATTTTCAAAATCTGGCAACAATCATGTTAGTCTTATATATAAAGGGGGATAATGGATAGTGGAAGGAGGTCTCTCAAGTAAAAATCCGAGGTTTGAATTCGAATTGTTGCTATATACACTCTCCAGTTTAGTTGGTCTCCTCAGCTTCTTTTTACACAATACAGCTGTACTCTATGTAGAGTATGGACAGCAGTGCGGGAAGGGTTTCCCTCTCCCGCCGCCTGGCGTCGCTGCTGCATGCATACAAGCTGCTGCTGAATTTGCTGCTCTCAGCATTGCCTCATTCATGATGATTCCTTTTATGCGGCGCACGTTTTATTGAAGCCACGTACATGCAGACGCGGTCTGAAATGAGCTCAGCCAGGCTCCGATTACAAAGATTCTGCTCTTGTATGTATGCATGTCCTCAGTTGCCGGGTTGTCTTTTATTATTATTCTTCGTCTTGAAGCCATCATCATCCACCAACTCCGCCGCCAGCAGCAGCTGATTCCCTCCCTTCCTACACCAATAATATAGGTTCCTTATATTCGTCTGTTCTAGCTTGAGGGGATGAGACATGCGCCTTTCCTCTCTGCTGTTTATAGTGGGCATCACTAAAATTTATTCCGTCTCCAGCATACACAGTAGCTTCACGTCTTCTTCTGTTCATTCATTATTGTTTCAATTTTTTTAGTGATGCGCGTGCATATACTGTAGTAGATATTTTCTATGATACTTCCGTACTGTATAAATGCACTAAATCAGTTCAATGAGTGAAGCTTTTCCAGCTCCTATGCTGCTGGCATTTATTTACATACAGTATAAGCATAGATTCATGCATGCAAGATCTGCTATATCGGCGGGATCCCTGTTCTAATGCCAAATTATATATATATGGACGTTTTGTTGTTGAATAATACAATACAGTACTGTATAATTTTTCATTAATAGAGTGAGCTTGGGTCTATATGATTTATGGTTCACATATCCCACCCGAACTCAAAGAACAGACCCGAGAAGAATGCTGTATTCCACCGCCCGTAATAACTGAAGATGATCAGCGTTAGTTTTGTAAGGAAGATTAAGCAGGGCTTGTCATAAATATATATAGGGCCTGCGCAAGCGCGTTCATCGGCTTGCTACGTGATGATGGTTGCTTTTTGAGAGAACCTTTGCGTGAAGGACTCGAACAGGAGCCCGGGCTGTGTGTATGTGAGTGGAGTTGAACATCAGAACCGCNCCCGTAATAACTGAAGATGATCAGCGTTAGTTTTGTAAGGAAGATTAAGCAGGGCTTGTCATAAATATATATAGGGCCTGCGCAAGCGCGTTCATCGGCTTGCTACGTGATGATGGTTGCTTTTTGAGAGAACCTTTGCGTGAAGGACTCGAACAGGAGCCCGGGCTGTGTGTATGTGAGTGGAGTTGAACATCAGAACCGCGCAGAACATGGTGCGCTCAGTTCCAAGCACTTGAGCATCGTCTCGGCTCATCATGCACTCTATATGTACATGATATATTCGGAATCGTCCTGATGCTAGTGGTCAGAAGCATAAGGTATAAGCTTGATCCCCATGAAACGGCGATTCTCCGAAGGTGTATCCTGTTTATTTTTAGTCGTTTCGTGAAAATATGTGCATGGAAATGGGCGAGTTATTGTTGCCGCTGTGCTGAATGATGTTCCAACGATATTCTCATCTGAATCGCGAATGATCCTTGAGCCTGGCAGCACGGTACTTCTGTGTCTTCATCAGCAGCTCTTATCACTGTACAGCAGTATACTGAGTTTCTCATCTGAAAGCTGTCCGTCGTTGAGAAGTGCTATTCCTCCTGCTAATTTGGATGAAACCCGTGAATATATCGTGTAGTCGTGCTCTCACGTGAAGTAATGCAGAAGAGGTGATGCGGGGAACCCTGGTCTTATGATTGTAGCTACATACAGTATAGATGTTCGTAATGGTGCGGTTGTGAAAGTGTATGTGCAGCACTCCATTGACGAGATGGACGCGAGCAACGCTCTTATTCTACGTCGTGCAAGCTGACGGCAACATTTTGCGTGAAGGATGTGCCATGTCGTGAAAGCAGTATTCAGCTTTTTTGCTGCCATATTTACCATTATTCCGAGTGAGTCTGTTCAGATTATCCTCCTGCAGTCGTGTGAGTCATGTTGAATGAGTGCGAATAAGCAGTAGCCAACAACAGTATATGAAAAACTATTGATCTCCAACTACAATAACTCATTGCTATACTTTATTGTCGCAGCTTCGGCGTATACCGTATATCGTGCGCTCCTCACTTCTCAACCCTCGTTTCCGTTGAAATAAAAAATATTAGGTCAAAATGAAGATTCTTATAGCATGCGTTCGGCAATCATTGGCTTATTGACTCCTTTGAGCATAAGCTGGTACGTTAAATTGCGTGATATCTGATGACTTGCACATTCAATAAGGTATGATCACCGCGGTGAGATGCGAAGGAGGAAAATTGAAATAGCCACGCAGCAGGAATCTGTTCAGAGGCCGCTGGTTCACAGATCACTTGTCGAGTGCAGTATTATAGGTGTTCGGGTATTCATTTAGGATTAAATAAATTAAAATTATGAATTAGATCGATGCACGTATACTGTATTTGCTGTGTTGAAAACTTTATTTGCGTGCTTTTTGTGTTGATCGAGTGCAGTATTATAGGTGTTCGGGTATTCATTTAGGATTAAATAAATTAAAATTATGAATTAGATCGATGCACGTATACTGTATTTGCTGTGTTGAAAACTTTATTTGCGTGCTTTTTGTGTTGGTGTTGTGTGGTTACTGTTCTGTGCTGTACAGCGATCTTCTATTGTGAGTTTATATACAGTGGTTACCAATGTTGTGCCACATTTATGCATGCAGATGTGTTGAAGAAGGGTGCAAATTATATAGCCATAACGAAAAAGGAATGAGTGCGCAAAGATGTCGTGCAGTAGTATTCGTATGTGTAAATCAAGAGCAGGCTTCCTCTCCCCTCCAGTTATATAGTAGAGTTTTCGAGACGGAATCTTGATTATTATCTTATTCTTATTTGTTCAGATGGAGTTGAGGCGATTCGATGCCACGTGTGCAAGTTCTCGGGGCCCCCGGATGACTGGGGCATCAATTGCAACGACCCCTTCAACATCAACGGAACACTCAGGGAATGCTCGTTGGAAATGTTCTACGACTCGAGCGGAAGCATCCCGCCCCCCAACATGACGGCGTTTTTCTGCCGCAAAACCGTGCAAAGAGGTACAGTACTGCACTGTACTGCTGAACGCCGTGATATAACATTCCAATGTTTTCTTTACTGAAATTTGCAATGAATAACATTTATTTTTCAAAACTTTGAGGTCTCTTG